ATGTTCTGAAGCCCTCTGTGTGATACACGCTACATGCCATTTCTACTCTGTCAGTGCCGTTCCACATTGGCACAGGGCAATGCAAGGTGGTCTTCCAGAATTCCAGGTGGGAAGCAAAATATAAACCCCACTTCTCTACCATTGCCAGACTTAACTGGCCTGTTAACTATGCCCTCCCAAACCCCAGTACAAATGAGTTTTATCTCTGCAGGATATGAGCGTATAGGGAGCAGGCCAAATGCCTGTCTGAACTGTTACCACAGACCTTGTCTATCAGGCTCTTCTCTGCCCTTCTGCCCATTCTTCCACCTCTCCTCACCCTCAGGCCGAAAAGGGCCTTTTGTTTTCATTTTCACATTCTTTTCTTTTCACTGCTCTGTGGGCGTTAGTGAAACTGTGCACTCTGACTCCCTGGGTTTTCTGGTTCTTGATTATTTTAAGAGTAACTTTTGGAACTTAAATAAACCTTTTCTCTCTCAGTATAGCCTGGCCCTTATAAATGAAAGCTTTAACCTTCACAAGCATTACCTCTGAAATGAGTTTCAAGAGCCAGTTGTGGGAGTCAAAAACTGAATATGACCTCCTTGCTCTCAGCTGGGTTCTGTCACCCCCTTGAAGGAGGGGGTACCCCAGGAAGGAGAGCCTAGGCCTGCCAGGGTGACCATGTATGGAAAATGCTTCCAGTTTCCAGGGGGACAGGCTACACTCTTAGGATCCACTTTCCCATTACAGCAAGAAAAAGTGGTTGAACGTTTTCCACACTTGACCTTTTTTTAACTTTTATTTTGTGTTCAAGGGTACCTTTGAGGGTTTGTTGTGTAGGTAAACTCATGTCACAGGGGGTTTGTTGTACAGGTTATTTCATCACCCAGGTATTAAGCCTGTTACCCAGTAGTTATTTTCTCTGCTTCTCTCACCCTCCACCCGCAAGTAGACCCCAGTGTGTGTTGGTCTTTTCTTTGTGTTCATGAGTTCCTGTCAGTAGTTTCCACTTACAAGTAAGAACATGCAGCATTGGTTTTCTGTTCTGCTTGTCTTTAGTATACTTCACTTTTAAAGCTAAAAAGCTGTAACCAGAGAGGTGAGCAGGCTACAGGACTGCCAGAGCCACTGGTGCCCTGTGAGCACTTGCCAGAACTGCTCACTTACGCTTTGAATCAGCAGCCACGCGAGTTGGGAAGGTCGTAATTCAGAGGCTGGGTCCCTTCCAAGCTGAGAGGCCTCTGAGTTGACTTCTCCCACATTAAGCTGGACCCACAAGGAGTTATACCCTAAGGGGTAAGGTGAACTAGATCTTAATTCACCTTTTCCTCCTAATCCTAGAGGACTAATGAAAGGATCAAATATCCCTAGGAAGAAGCAGCCACACATGAGTCCTTGCTCAGATTTGAAACCCCCAGGCTGGATTAGCCAACAAAGTTCAAGCCAGGAATTTGATTTCAGATTATTCATGAGTTTTAACAACTCTAGGTGCCTGGCAAAAGCAAATATGAAGTGTCTCTGGAATATCTGTCTTAGACCTGGAGGGTCTTTCACAAATAACTACTCAGCGGCATTCACAAGAAAACATTCAAAAATAACTAGGCACAAAAGAAAACAGTATGGTTAAGAACTATCAGAAACAACAGGCAACACAAATAACCTATACAGACTTTGACATTGGCATTGTCAGATACAGATTTTAAAAGTAGCATTTATAGCTAAAGAAAAAAAAGAAAGTATAGAAAGTCACTTAACAGATTTGATGAAAAACTCATCAAAATTTCAAGAAATTATGATCAAAATAAACAAAATTAGAAGTTCATTAAATGTGTGTACACCAAAAACAGGATCCCAAAATACGCGGAGCAGAAACTGATGGAGCTGAAAGGAAAAACAGACAAATTTGCAATTACAGGTAGAGACTTCAATGCCCCACAATTGGCAACTACTACTGCTAGACATAACTACTGGACAGAAAATTCAGCAAAGATATAGGACTAAAGACAACAACAGCATTAAATTGATGTGTAATACAACTTTCCATCCAACAACAGCAGAAAATATATTTTTAAGCACTATGGAATATTCACTAAGATAGGTCATATTCAGAGCTAAAAAACAATCCTGAAAATGTATGAAACAAAAGTGGAAAGTCCTAAAAAGAAAAATGAAAAAATCCACAATCATAGTGAGAGATTTTAACATACCTTTGTTTATGACTAACAAAAGAGGCAGACAAAAAAAAAGAATCAGAACATAGATTTAAGCAAAACAATTAGTAATCTTGACTGAATGGACAGAACATTAGACAACATAGAATGCGCATTCTTTTTAAGCACACATAGAACTCACCATACACTAGGATATAAATCAAATATCAACACATTTCACAAGATTGAATCAATATAGAGCATATTCTCTGACAACAATGCAACTAAGCTAGAAGTCAATAACAAAAAGATAACCAAAAATCACACTATGTTTGGTAGCTAAAAAAATACTTCTAAATAATTCATGGATCAAAACAGACATCATAATAGAAATTAGAAAATGTTTTGAACTAAATGATCATGAAAACACTACATATCAAAATTTGTGGGATTGCTTACGGGGCAATTTTATAGCCTGAACTGTATATAGTAGGAAATAAGGATGTGAGGACGATCTGGCTGAGACATCTCTCACCCCACTGATCACCAATGTGGATTCGGCTGATCTGGCTGGCGGGGCAGGTGTCCCCTTCTTCCCTCACTGCTCCATGTGTGTCCTTCCGGAAGCTACACGCTTAGTCGAAGAGGACGACCATCCGCAATAGAAGAGGACTTCAGTCAAGGGTGTACAAGTAGCTGCCCTCCCCTGCTAGACCCTCCAGACAAGCTTTCAAGGAAATAAGGCAGACTGCAAATTAATTAGTTGGGCATACATCACAAGAAGTTAGAAAAAGAACAGCAAAATAACACAAATAGAGTAGAAGGTTAGAATGATTAAAAACGAGACCAGAAATTAGTGAAACAGAAAATGAACCTTCAATAGAGAAAACCAATATGCCAGAATTTGATTCTTTGAAAAGAACCAACTAATAAAATGACAACCCTCTAGCAATATTGCCCAAGGAAAAAGAAAGAAGTTGCAACCAACATTAGGAATGAAAACGGGCATCACTGCAGATGGTACAGATAAAAGACATTAAACAGATAAAAGAATATTATAAAGAACTTTATGCCAAGAAATTTCAAATTTTAGGTATGATGGACAAAATCCTGGAAAACATAAGTTGCCAAAATCATAATGAAGAAGTGAAAATCTGAATTATAATCCTTAAAGAAATTAAATCAGTAGTCAAAAAATTGACTGCTGAGTCTACTGCCACTCAGGATGAGACCCTGGAGAGATTTAGCACCTGCCTGACTTCAGGCTGCCAGGTAGCAAGCGTCTGTCTGTATGTGCAACACCACTGCTCTCTCTTACCCAGGAATTTACCAGGTCAACCAGGGTATCATCTCTCGTGTCAGTGACAACACAAATTAAACAAAATCTAGCCTCACAAAACTTCACTGGTGAGTTCTACAAAACAAAAACAACAACAAAAATGTTATTTCAGGCTGGGCACAGTGGCTTATGCCTGTAATCCCAGTACTTTGGGAGGCCAAGATGAGTGGATCACTTGAGTTCAGGAGTTGGAGCCAGCCTGGCTAACATGGCAAAACCCTGTCTCTACTAAAAATAAAAAATTAAAATAAAAAAATATTGGTCGGGCATGGTGTCGCATACCTGTAGTCTCAGCTACTCAGGAGGCTGAGACAGGACAATTGCTTGAACCTGGGAGGCGGAGGTTGTAGTGAGCTGCAATTGCACCACTGCACTCCAGGCTAGGTAACAGAGCAAGACTCTGTCTCAAAAAGAAAGTTATTTCAGTCCTAACACACAAAATCTCTTATAGCATAGAAAAAGAGAGAACTCTCCAACACTTTTTATGAGGCTCAGATAACCTCCATACTAAAACCTGATTAGCACAGTGAGAGAAAGGAAAAATTATAGACCTGTCTTACTACCTAAAAAACAAATTAGCAAAGCGAACTCACCAATACACAAAAAAAGCTAATATATCTTGGCTAAATCGGGTTTATCTGTGGAATGCAGTGTTAGTTTAAGATTAGAAAATTAATCCATGCAATTTACTATATTAACTGAGTAAAGGAAAAAAAATCACACAAGCAAGAGTCACAGAAAAAAAATTAATAAAATTCAACATTTATGGCAGGCACTCAAACTAGGAATAACAGGGAATGTCTCAAAATAACATATTTGTCAAGATAGACTAGGCTCGCTGCAATAATAAATCCTCCAGTTTTAGGAGCTTAACACATGAAAATTTATCTCTCACCAGATGAACCCCGTGTGGGTTTAGAAGATCTACAGGGCAGTTATCATTGCTAGCGAGCACAGTCGATGGCTGTTCCAAAGTACACTTTCCCATTCCATTAGCAGCACATTCCTCCCAGGTCAGTGGTGGCCTGTGCAGTTCATCTACATCCGATACCCACCAACCCTGGTTCATGCTAAAATCCTATCCTTTGTCCTTCATCCTCAAAATCCCCATTTGGGCTAAGAAACTATATATAATCTTCATCCTCACATAGAGGGCAAAAATAGTGCCTCTGTTAATTTCTATAGAAGGGGAAGTCATGCTGTTCCTTAACTATATCCTGATCCTAACTGTCCATACTGCTATGTGGGACCTTGCCTGAGCTCCACCTCCACAGCCTTTCTCTCAGCAGAAAGGCTACTCAGTGCTACTCTGGGTTGTAGAAGGCTCTAGAGGAGAAGCACGTGGTCATCCTGAGGTAGTGCCTTTACTCTTGCCTAAAGGAGCCACCCTTCCTCCTCCTTGAGAGAATGCCAGACTCTACTCCCACTCAGGATCAGGCACTAGAGAGATTTAGCACCTGCCGGAATTCAGACTGCCAGATGGTGAGCATCGGTCTGTATGTGCAACACCACTGCTCTCTCTTACCTAGGAATGTACCAGGTCATCCAGGGTATCATCTCTCCTGTCAATGACAACTATGGGAAGAAAGACCTCGCAGCTTCTCATCACCGAGTGGCCATGGCCCAGCTGGCCCTGCAGACATCCGACTGGATCCGAGTGGACCCCTGGGAGAGTGAGCAGGCACAGTGGATGGAGACAGTGAAGGTGCTGAGGTAATGGTAGTCACTCTCCTGTGTGATGACCAGGGCCCACGGGGGACGTCTGCAGAGCCTGCAGGGTAAAAGGTAGGGCAGATTGTGGGGCTGGGGTTCTGCCAGGCCTTTTCAGCACAGATCGGAGAAGCAGCTTCTACTTAGGGGGAGAGAGACCAACAGATTCACATTCTCATAGAGGTCCCTGAGCAGAAAAATTACGAAACACTGTCCTTTCGGATGCACTTGTGGAAACACTCAACCTTGTTTCAGACGACTGTAGCACTGGGGTCTATCACCACCACTTAGTAGCTGTGTGACTTTGAGCAAGTGAATTGATATCTCTGAGACATATTTCTCACTTGCAAAATGGAAACAGCAAAACCTAATGAATGACCTTTTTAAAGGCAAATAACTTTCCTGACCCAGGAACTACATAATAATATTCAGTAGGTGGGACCTTTTGTTTTTTTTATCATTGTCTAGGGTGAAAACTGCATCTTTATAGTAAGCCATCTTTTTAAATTGTACAATTCCTGGGTTCTATATAAACCCAGACTTTTATGTGAAATAGGAAAAGAAAAAGACTATAAATCTAGAAATAGTTACTCAGGATAATTTTTTCTTCTGGAATTGCTGTTTGTATTCAGTGTACATAATATAACTGTTTAAAACCCCAAGCCAGCCCTGCAGGTTAAGGCCGTGGGTCACTAGCTTGTGTCTGCAGACTTTAAGGGGAATTGCCAGAGAAGCAGGAAGTCCCACCTATCCTGGCTGCTGGGATTGTGAGAGGGGCTGCCTCATCACTAATGACAACCAGCTCTGCTGGAAGGGATTGCAAATTGTGGGCTGTGTTTTTTGTCTGTTTGGAACCACTAGGATTGGCAGGAAATGGGAGGCACAAGGAATGAGGTGAAATGATTGACAGGCCTGTTCATAAAGTGTTTTAGTTTTCATTTTATACTTGTCTTCAAAAATCACTTGGGAGAAAAGGTTTACCTTTTCAGTAGAGGTAATCATTTCGTTTTTATATCCTGATTCTCTTTACTTACATTTTACTGGGGAAAGAACCAGCCAGAAGCATTCAGCAGTTACCGTGTTGCTTCAGAACCTGTTGCCAATTTTTGTTTGTTTGTTTGTTTTTTGAGATGGACTTTTGCTCTTGTTGCCCAGGCTGGAGTGCAACAGTGCCATCTCGGCTCACTGCAACCTCCACTCCCAAGTTCAAGCAATTCTCCTGCCTCAGTCTCCCTAGTAGCTGGGATTACAGGCAGATGACACAATGCCCAGCTAATCTTTGTATTTTTCATAGAGGCGGGGTTTCACCATTTTAGTCAAGGCTGGTTTCGAACTCCTGACCTCAGGTGATCCACCCGCCTCAGCCTCCCAAAGTGCTGGGATTGCAGGTGTAAGCCACCACGTCTGGTGCCTATTGCCAAATTAAAAGGAGAGCCATTATAAAATAATTGTTAGACACATGTTCTTTACTTTTTTAAACTACCCATTAATATAAACAAAAACTCATATATTGAAAATTATATAAGGAATAAATTGACACCTAGATCATCCTTTTAGAATGAGTCATGCAGTTATTTCTCATTTATCTAGTCTAAGAAAGGGGGAATAGAAGCAAGTGAATAGATCATCCAACAAGTGATTTAGCTTTAATATGTAGGCAGAAACAGACGCTTTCTCCTCCACCCTGTGAGAAGCCGTGTAGCCTAGGACATAGGTTTTAGAGCCAAATTTACTAGCTGAATGACTTGATGTAAGTGATTTAGCCTCCCTGAGTCTCAATTTCTCACCTAATAAAATGGAAATGACATCACCCACTTCACTAGGATTCCATGTGAATTAAATGAGATGATGTAGACAAAACACCTGCTTTATGGTAGGTAATTAATAATGTTAGCTACCTTCCATGAATCCCTAATGCTGTCCCATAATTTGTCCTCAGAACAGATAAGCCATTCATGGATAAATAGGAGTTGACCATAGTACTATTTATGATTACTTGTACTTCTGCAGCAAAATATAGGGGTGAGCTAAAATTCTACTGAACGCATTCATTTTCTTTTTCATTTTTTTTTTTTAAAGACAGGGTCTCAAAAAAAGCTCCCTGGTGATTCTAATATATGGCTAGCCCACTGCTTCAGCTGCCAAGTTTGTGAATTTAGCTCTGGTGCCCAGGCTGGAGTGCAGTGGTGTGATCTTGGCTCACTGCAACCTCTACCTCCCGGTTCAAGCAATTCTCCTGCTTCAGCCTTCCAAGTAGCTGGGATTACAGGCACACACCACCATGCCCTGCTAATTTTTTTTATTTTTAGTAGAGATGGCCAGGCTGCTCTCGAACTCCTGACCCACCTCAGCTTCCCAAAGCGCTGGGATTACAGGCATGAACCACCACACCCAGCCTCTTTTTAATTTGTTTAAATAACTCCTTTATTCCTGTATTTCTCAGTGCTGGCTTGCACACTGGACTCACCCAGGGAGCTTTTAAAAGTCCCCATGTCTGAGTCTCACCCCAGAGACTAAGATGTCCTTAGTCTAGGTTGGGGTATCAGGATTTTTTAAAGCTCCCTGGTGATTCTAATATACGTCTAGCCCATAGCTTCAGCTGCCAAATATATGAATTAAGCTTATGATCAGTACCGAGATGCATTTAAAACAGTAGTCTCAACTCTGGCTGCAGAAATCACTTAATAAGCTTTTTTGAATGCTCATTTCTTCCCACCCATCCCAGCGATTTTGATTTGTCTGGATTAGGCTCTAAACTTTGCTATTTTCATAAAGGTTCCCAGATGTATTTTGTGTAACCAAAATTGAGAATCACTGATATAGTCAACACAGTTTTATCGAATGCTGATTCAGATTTTTAAAATTATTATTTGGAGTGAGTTTCATCTCCAGAATATACGAATTGCATTTGTGTTTGATTACTAACACTTTCCTAAAATTTCCAACACGTGATTTAGCTTTAACATGTAGGCAGAAACAGTTTTCTTAAGACTGAAAATCCAGTTGTAATTGTAAAATCAGGTGGTTTTAGAAGCATGGTAGAAGTCCACCCCATCCTTTGCTCCATTTAGTGTCCTCTTGATAAAGTCCATCGTGAATCTACATCATGGTAACACACATCTCTATAATGTAAATTCACTGTAGATTTTATTGAGGATTCCTTCTTTCCTCATAAGATTGCTTACTTTTATTCTAATTTTTAAAATCTAGGCCAACTTCCATGCCTTTAGGACATTTGATGACACATGTCACTCACCTTTTCCCTGTGTTGTGGGCAAGGCCCTAGTCACATGTCATTTGATATAATCCATCATTGTCATCATCATCACTCTTTCATGCACCCCCTTGCAGACGTGATCTTGTGTTGTCCTCATTTTACAGATAAAGAAATTGAGGCTCAAAGAGGCTAAGTTAATAACAGTCACACACAAATAAACAGGAAATGGAGCTCCCATCTGTGGAGCCCTGAAGCCATGCTTATGGCCACCTTCAGAAACAGGGATCTGCAGGCTGGGAACATGATGTGGCTGGCTTTCAACCTGCCACAGTTACCCTCCAATGAGGCTTTCCTGAAGACCAGTGGGGCTGCTGAGGACACCAAGAACATGCCCCCAAGGGCAGTCCACAGGCCCAAGGTGCCACTCAGGCAGGCAGCAAGAAGCAGCAATGGTCATGCCCCATGGAGGCACAGTGGAAGTCCCTGGAAAATGCATGTTGTATTGAACGTAATGATTTCCACAACAAAGTTCAGCAATCCAGCTAATATTCAAAGTAGGGTCACCCTGAACTAGGACGTTCAAGGTAAGTAAAATGACAATCACCACCTTTTACTGATCACCCGCTATGTGTCCCAAGCTCTTTCATGTATATCTAGTAAGCTCAGTAACTCCAAGAAGTAGGTGGGTTTAGTCCTATTTTATAAGCGAGGACATGGAGACTCAGAAAGGGTCAAAAAATGCTTCAAGTCCTACAGTTAGAAAGTGGAGATGAGACTCAATCTACTTCAGTCTGATAGGAGAGCCCATACCAACCCAAGGGTGAATCATCAAAAATAAAGTTCACCAAAACCAAAGCAGTAAAACAATAATGAAACCACTGAATCCAGCCAGGCTCTAAGAAAATTCTGAGTGTCTGAGATACTCTGAAAGGGCTTTGAACCAGGTTAAATGTATTCATCCATCCACTCCTTCCATCATTCCTGAATTCAGCAGACTTAAGGCGCATTTTCATGGTGCTAAGAATATAAAAGTGAATTCAGTGGGGTCCCTATTCACAATCTGGTGGGAAGATAGACTGTAATAACAGCTAACATTTATTGGGCTCTTTCTGTGTATGGGCCAGGGCTAAGCGTTTCAATTAATCTTCATGACAGCTCTCTGGGGTAGGTTCTGTCATTATCCCTCATTCTATAGATATGGAAACTAGAGACACCTAGACTCCATGGCTAGTAGTTAGAACCAGAATTCCAACCCAGAAAGTCTAATTCTAGAACTTAACACTGTGCCCCTTCCCAATTATAATCAGCAGCAGGCCACGTCCCCAGCATCTCGCAAGGTAGAAGTAGTTTTTCATTCATGATCTTGCAATACTTATTGTAGATAAGGCCAGCATTAACTTTCATGACTAATTAACAGATGAGGTCCACATGGCTCGGAGATTATCAGTGCCACAGGGTGTCAGGGTCATTCAAGCAGAAAAGCCTGAGCTTAAACCCACCCACTCTGGCTTGGCTGAAAAGCATATGCTTTTTACACCAGGCACTACTGCCCCCTAAACACAGCTCTAGTAAATGCATAATACAGGAAGTGGAAGATGGAAGATCAATTTGATACAAGATGGGGTGAATAGTGATTGCCTCTGTTTGATAAAAGAATATATAGGTACCTCATGATTCGCAGGAGATAGATTGCTGAAGAAGGGCGGCACGGCAAATTTGTGAAAGTCTAATCCTCTTTGAAATGCCCGGTGCACTTTGTGTGCATTAACCCCTTTAATCTTCATAACCACCCGTCAGAGGTGGGCACTGTCATAATTCCTCATTGGCAGATGCAGCACCATCCACATAGAGACTTGAAATCACCCACCCAGGGTCACACAGCCAGCTGGTGGAGGAACTGAGATTCAATCCAGGCCATCTGGCTGCAAGCCCTGGCTCTTGGCCGCCACTCTATTGCCGTCTAAAGCACTAGTTTCTAATCAGAGCAGGCAGCTTTTCTTGGACCTCGCTGTGGGCCAGGCACTGTGCCAGTGCTTCGTGTGCGTGGCTCATTTACCTTCACAAGAGTCTAAAAGTAGGTGTTTTCCCTGCTTCTCAAATGAAAATGTGTCTTGAGGCGGCTGGGCATGGTGGCTCAAGCCTGTAATCCCAGCACTTTGGGAGGCTGAGGCGGGTGGATCACGAGGTCAAGAGATCGAGACCATCCTGGTCAACATGGTGAAACCCCGTCTCTACTAAAAATACAAAAAAAAAATTAGCTGGGCATGGTGGCGCGTGCCTGTAATCCCAGCTACTCAGGAGGTTGAGGCAGGAGAATTGCCTGAACCCAGGAGGCGGAGGTGGCGGTGAGCCGAGATCGCGCCATTGCACTCCAGCCTGGGTAGCAAGAGTGAAACTCTGTCTCAAAAAAAAAAAAAAAAAAAAAAAGAAAATGTGTCTTGAACTCAAGTCTGTCTGACTCAATAGCCCATATCTTTAACCGCTACTCAACAGTGACTCCTTTTTTTTTAAGTGAGAAATATTGAAGGAAATGTTAAAAGAGTAGCAATGTATTAATTTCCCTGCTTTCACACACGTCACATGCAAAGTAGTGAACTGTCTTGGACAGGACTCTCCTGGCTTTCTGTCCCAGCACCTGGCAATGCCTGCCACAGAGTAGGCCCTTGACGGATATTTGGGGAATGAGTGAACCAAAGTACTGTAGATAAAAGCAGGCTGAGACAAAATCTGAAAATCCCTGGGTTGCTTTGAGGGCTGGAGGACAGACATACCCTGAGCCCATATGTTTCCATTGCAGGCATCATCACGGCGAACTGCTCAGATCTCCACCCCAGATGGAAGGCCCAGACCATGGCAAGGCACTCTCCCCCTCCCCTGCAGGTGGGTGCTCACCCTCTTGTCTGTAAGAGAATGAGATGTCAGGGATTCTGTGAGAACTGAAGGGGGTAGGGGTAGTCACAGCTACAGAGGACTTGAGTCCAAACCTCTGGGCACAGACAAGGAATTTAAGGGCTGCCTGCTTGGGAAGACACTTCTGAGGCTGAAGTTCAGATCAGACAATCTGCCACCACCCCCTGTAAATTGCTCTGCTAATTTGGGATTTTTTTTTTTTTTTTTTTTTTTTTTGCCCCAAAGAAGTTTACCTACCCTTGTGACTTGTTTAATGACATGGATTACAGTCAGGGTCACACAGGGATAAACTGATGAGGGCTGCTGGGTTTCTTTTAAAAGCCTTAGCCTTTTTGAATGTAAAATATGACATTATAAAACTTGAACAAAGAGACTAAGACTTTTTTTATAGCAGAATTACTCAATGGTTCACTCAGAAGAGGAAACCTATTTTTAAGGGAATTTAAAGTTGGTTTGGATTATCCTCTTAATTTGTAAGCCTAGATGTGTAAGCCAGGAAGTGTTGTCATTTCCTGGTGTTTGATAAAACCTTGTTGGCTGTGATTTCGGAGTATGAACAGCCCTGGTGTCAGGGGCCAAATGCATTAACCCTTTCATGCAAATAAGCAGGAGCACCATGCAGCAGTGGGCACACAGATTCCTCCAGGTCATCTGCAGAGTTTCCTGTGGCAGGGTCTCCTGGGGAAGAGAGTTGGTGGAACACTGCTTCCAGATTAGAAGAGTTCAGGGATGCTGAGGTTAAGCACACCTGAAGTGGTTTCTTTACTGCAGGACTTTTCAGAGGCTTTACTATGTCCATGTGCGTTGTGATTCTACAAGAAAGAGAAATACCTTGTTCTTACCATACGGAACTCTTTGTTTAAGATCTGTTAGTAATTTTCAGAACTAGTGCTCCCTAAAGCAAGATTGGGAAACGCTCTTCTAAAAAAACTGAAAATGCTAGCAGACCCTATAGGTACCATGCCACAGTCCCCAAATGCTGGCTAAAGGATCACTCACAGCAGTATCCCCTGTGCGGCCTGTTAAAAGCACTAATTCTCAGAGTGGGAGTAGGGCCCAGGAATCTGGATATTTAACAAGCACTCTGAGGATTTGCTTTACAGCCAGTTTGGGAGGCTATGCATGAAAGTAAGAATCTAAGAAGGAGTTACAGTGCCTCCTATATAATCATCTTATATAACGTTTATTATATTCCTCTGGTCTCTCTGAATGCCTCTCCTCTCTGTTACCTGCATGGGCTCCTTCCCACCCATCCCCCATGAGCACAGTGCCCATTGTTCATTATCAGCCTCTCCCTTCTTTCTGCATCATCTCTGGCTCAGTAGGCATTCCTAAAAGGATTATACAGACACTTTTTGAGCACCTCATTGGAACAGACTCTGGGCTCAGGCTGAGAACAGAGACAGCCAGCCCCAGCCCCCACCCCGAGCTGGAGACAGGGTGTGAGTGGGTGTGAATCCAGGCATGAATTAGGAGGGCTGCATGGTGGAGGGGGCACCTGCACTGAGACTTGCAGTAGGAGTGGATTATTGAGGTTGGAGACATTTCTGGGCCAAGGAGCAGGCTAAGGAAAGCACAAAGGCAGGAGACAGCATAAGCATGGGGCACTCCATGCCACTGGGGCAGGCTGGAGTCTGCAGTGAGAGGCAGGGACAGCCAGAGTGACTCGGGAGGGACACCACACGGAGGCTCCTAGACTCTCACACTTCACCTCTCTGCGTATGCTTCCAGAATCCCTGTCTCAGCTCTTTGCCTGGGCTGCCCCTCCTTCCTCTTAATTCTTGGTTCCCCTGTTGAAAACCTATCTGGCCTGTGAGGCCCAGCTCAGAATTCACCTTCCCTATAAAACCAGCCCCAGCTGCCCTCATTAATATGAACTCTCTCCCTCTGCCAAAGCCCACTCCAGATTCTTTCCAGATTCATTTTTCTAGGGGCTACTAGCCTACTCTCCTTGGCGCTGTATTGTCGAGGGCCTCTTTCTCTCTACTCAGACCCTAAATCCCACTCATCTTGTTCTATTCTAAAGTAACTATTTTTTTGAAAAGGAAGCTTACATGAAATGAAAAGTATGTTTTCCAGTTTACCAAAATATATCAGGGACTTTAAAAATCTTTGTACTCTGCTTGATAAATTCCCATTCTAGGAATCTGGCTAAGGAAATAATTAGAAATTGGGATAAAGATTTACGCAGAAAGATGTTTATCACAGCAGTTTTTACAATGGCAGGAAGTAAAAGCAACCTCAATGCTTAAATATAAAGGAATATGTAAGTAAATTACACTGTATACATAGGATAAAGAAACTACATAAAAGGTTTTAATGATATGGAAAAACACTTATGAAGGAAGTGGAAAAAATCAGGATACAATACTGCATATAATCTTAAGTATATAAAAATATGACTAAGCTTTCACATCTGTTTGCATGTCTAAATAGAAAAGACTAAGGAAATACACTAAAATACTGATGGTGTTTTGTAGAAAGCAAAATTATTATTGTTGTTATTTCTACTTTAAATACTTATTTTCCATACGTTCCATAATGAATACAGTTTGATATTTGTCATCCAGGAAACTGTAGAGCAATTAAAAATAGAAAGGTGGAATTTTTCTCAGCATAAGTTTGGCTTTTGATGAGATGGCACATGTGTTACTAGTGACATATTTCTAAAGGACCATTTTGTGTGCTTCGTGTTTTATTGGTGTGCTGTTACACTCTGGGGTTGCAAATTACATGATGAGCTCAGCACTTTCTGGCTGCCAGAGCCTTGCTTTGCCCATCACTTCTGTGATTTGCAGGCCTCCTTGGGCTCACCCAGAGTCACACGGATTGCCACATGCTGGGCTGCTTGGGTGTGACACTTTGGGATGGGTGATTTCTCCAGTCCTTTAACAGCTGACTGTCTTTTGTAAAGGTGGCCCCTACCCATGGCTGATGGAGCTGAGCACAGCTCAGCCACATGCAGAGGACTCCCTTCTCCCAACAGAGCAGGCCCTCTACCTGTTTCCGTTTTACACTGAATGTTCCAAGGTGGCCTTGTATGGTAAATTTGGGTGCTGCCTGTCAGATGCTTCATCTCTTGTGTCCTGTTTAGATCCAGAAGTCCTACATTTCTGAGTGTGTTTGTGAGGTACCATAACAAACATTGCTGTTGGTGGCAGTGTTCACATGCTGCGCCAGACAGGAAATTTACATTGCATTCTCTCCATCACTCAATTCCCGTAACTTCCAAAGAAAGCTTTACTATCCCCATTTCATGGCTGAAGAAACAGGCCCATAGGCTAAGTAATTTTCCTGGGGTACCAGTAGATTTAAACTGGAACCCAGAGCTGACTGACCTCAAGATTGGTGCTCTTTGATGTCACAGACTTAGGACAACCAAATTTTCAAAGATCCTAGTGGCACTTCCCTCGCAGTCTATGTAAACTTCGGCTTTATCTGCCTTTCAAAGCCCTTAGCTACTCAAAGGTAGAGCACACTGCCCTCAAAATGCCCACGGACATCCTGTTTATGTCTCTGTATCACTGTTAGGAGAAATCATATTGACAACCTTTATACTACATCCTGGAGTCACATACTTTGGACATGGATAGAGTCGCTCAGTCGGTCTAAAAATTTTGTAACAGTGTTGTAAATGGATTTGGAGATGTGTGAATGCCTTTGTGGGCCCTGAAGACAGGACTGCCAGGAGTTGGAGGTCTGAGGCCCATGTTGCGCAAGAAGTGACCTATCACATGGTATTGTTGCCGTGAAATAACAGGTGCCACCAGCCTCAAAGACGCACGTGCCTTTGATTTGGGAGGCAGAGGCAGTGTGGGCCCTTGTTGCCTCTAGGCAAGGCCCAAAGTGAATAGTATTCCTTACTGTCATTGTTAATGAATCAAACAGTACCGAATATTGAAACTGACATGTAGAAATTGTCCCCACAAAAAAAATCTATTGGAAAAAGAAGGTAGTATATTCTCTGTTCTCTGACCTGTAGGAAGAGAGAGGATGTGTCCCAGGCCCCAGCAGATCCTGGAATGAAATCGACTTCGTAGTACCTCCCCCACAGGAAGACCACATAAAACTACCTAATTATTTGAAAGACCAAACACTGTTCTCCTCTATACCACACTGGTTGGATTAATAAGAAATTAGAGTAAAACTTCACAGATGGAGGACAGTTCAAATACACATATATGCTGTGAGCAATGGGACCAGCCCAAATTAGTGAAAAGTGTGAGTTACTGAATAATTGTTAAATGCAGTTTTATTGATTTAAAAAGGCCAGACACTGGGAGATAATTCATAAATGTTGAGTGGGAGTTTCTGTGAATAGAGTAGTAGATAAGTGGGTAAATGGATAAGTGAATGAATGAATAAATGAAGGGCAATATCCTCATTTTAAAGTTGAGATCACATGAGGTATTGAATGGCAGAACCAGAATCTGGATCTAAGGTGTCTGGCTCTGGAGTCTTAGTTTGTAACCAGTAAGAATTCATACATGCATGAATGAAGGAATGTTTGAAAACCATTTACTATACCAATATTATGCTGCTAAAGCATTTGAAAAGTGTGTTTCTGTGATTTTGTATGTTGCTTTAAATGAGCCCAGAGCACATCATCTCATGGTTGGGGAAACTGAGACACAGAGAAAGAAAGGTCTTGGCTCCAGCCCCACAGCAGCCTGTGCCCAATTGAGGCCAGGACTCAGACCTCTCCAAGACACCTCCAGTCTCTCACTTTCCAGTCCACAGTCACTCCGGTGCTTTTGTGTGAACTCATCTCTCTGGTCCATGTTTGGATTCCTTCAAATGTTCCGCCTTAGAGGATCCTAAACTGACCATTTACACCAAGGTTTCCCTAGTATGGCAGCCCTGGAGACCCTGCAGCTTGTTTCTAGCATGCATTTGGATTTCCTTTGCAGATTAGCTCACCAAGAGGGACACAGATAGTACCAGGAAAATCAGCCTGGGTCTCTAGAAAGGGCGTCTCCAGTATGCTGCAAGTACAGACTCCCACCAGCAGGTAGCAGCAGAACCCAGCAGTTACAAATGCCCCACCTAGAGCATGGCTGCCAGGATGGACTCCTTACTTCTCTGCCTAGCTGAGTGACCTGAGGCAAGTCACTTACCTCTCCCTGCCTCCTTTCCCCCTCCACAGAATGGGCACAACAACACTCACCTCATAAGTTGTTCTGGGGTGCATATGGTATTATGAAGAGCTTAGTGGTAGTGCCCATAGTAAGTTTCCAATGCATGTTAGGTATTGTTTTATTATCACAATTAGCATTCTGTTAGAACACATTCCAAAGGATTATCTGCATTAATCGTTGTTCTAGAGCTTTGTTTTATTGGAAACTGCAATGAAAAGGCCACCAGCTGGAGTTTTAAGACCTTCTGATTATCCAAAGAGCCTTTATAATTAATCTTTATAATGAGATTTTTATATAAAAGTGCCAGGTACTAGTTCCTAGTAATACTAGGGCTGCGATGGATTTCAAATAGGGCAGTGACTTGTCCACGGCCCCCAGCTTGTTGGTCTCAGAGCTCTCAGAACCTTACCTTCCATCAGAAGACACAGGACTGGGTACAGTACAGTCACCTTTAGAGCACTCTGCTTTGGTCCAAAGCAACCACAGACAGACTTATATTAGAACACTGAAAACAATATTTTTTGTATTACTTGGCACTTTTCCAATATTAAACAAAAGATGTATTGATTAAATCGTTACTTATAACTGTATTCCCTGAAATAACTGCAGATTTGTTTACATACTATTTCGTTTCAAGTCATGGACATGGAGACACTGAGTTCTTGAGACATTCCAAGAAAAGCATTTTGTGAGATTTTCCAACAGAAGTGATGTTGTCTTTCCTGGCAGTGACCCTTCTGTAACTTTACTGAGTCTATCCTTGTTTTTGCAGCTGTGCCTGAGCTGAAGCTTCTCTGCGGGGCAGATGTCTTGAAGACCTTCCACACCCCCAACCTCTGGAAGGACGCGCACATCCAGGAAATAGTGGAGAAGTTTGGCTTGGTGTGCGTGGGCCGGGTGGGTCACGACCCAAAAGGGTACATCTCAGAATCTCCCATCCTACGGATGCACCAGCACAACATTCACCTGGCCAAGGAGCCCGTGCAGAATGAGATCAGTGCCACGTACATCAGGCGAGCCTTGAGCCAAGGGCAGAGTGTGAAGTACCTGATCCCCGATGCTGTCATCACCTACATCAAGGCCCATGGCCTCTACACCAAGGACAGTGCCTGGAAAGGCACAAGCACCCAGAGCGCTGAGAGAAAGACCAGCTAGGGAGGGGGACTCGGCACCCACACCTCCTCCACCAAGCTCCTGCTCAGGAGAGGGCTGTTAAGGTTTCTGTTTGACTTTGGTTTTTGCTTCTCCATTTTTCATTTGTTTATTTCTACAATGATTCTACTTCCGTGGAGTCTTCTGTCCCAGGAAGAGATCCTTCTTTGTGGGAGAGGAAAGGTCTAAATCACAAGGATGGACATTTATCAACGAAGTTAAAGTGGCATGGCAGGTCATTAGGATTAGGCAGAATCTCTCAGAGCTGCTGGACCAAGGAGGCCTACTTATTTTGTGTGGATGGTAATTATGGTGTGCACACTGAATGCAGTTCTGAGCATGGCAAGGGGCCCCTGAGGGTCAGATCACAATTGCCCAGAATGCAGTTTTTAACTAGAACCAGGTGCAGCATGCTAGTCTTGATTGGAGAGATTTGACAGGATGCTAATTACTGAACAGTGGGTTTTGTCAATGCCCCGGTTTCAGAATATGAACTGAGGAGTCAAACAGTTGGAAGCAGCACGTTGCTGATTTACACTGAATCTTGCCTTACAAACCATTGTCTGCTTGACTAACCAGCCCTTCATAAAATTTAAACAAAACTCTTTCTACGTAGTGATCCTCAAGCAGTGTTTTTCATATGGCAAGTATCAAACTTGCTGTAGTGTAAAAGCCGGAGCTCCTCATTTCCAGGTTCCTAAAAAGGAACTGAGGTAAAACAGATGCCTGACTGTTTTAAAGGATCTTTTTTAATGTTTTATGACTGCCTGTCTGTTTGAATATTGGCAAAGGGATAAATAATAAATTGACATCAAAAAGTACTAATGAAAAGTTTCTTCCTTTGTTATATTTTTAATGCCTTATGTCCCAGCTGTTTCTCTTCTTTTTAGCTGCTCCATGAAATTTGCTACTATTGCAGTTGAACTGGCATGAATTTAAAAGTGTGTGTTTCCAGGTAGTAGGAATGGAGGAAGCAACTGCTTTTCAGTGCCACGCCAATGGCTTTCTAAAAGAAAGCACTGGGTTGATAGCTTTTTTCAGGTGGGCCTTTGAAATGTTAGAACAGGGGCCTCATGCACGCAGGATTTGTCATTCCACTCCCAAATTAGGGAAAGGTTTTGATTGACCTAATCCTGTTTGCGTTTACTCTTTAAACTTGCTGACCACATGACTGAATGCATTCAGAATTTACTTCTCCATAGTTTTACTCTGGTTCATCCTTGCTCTGGGTTTGGTCATGCAGAGAAACAAAGGGCCTGTTAGGAAGAATCCATTATCCCCCCCAAAACATACCAGTGTTCACATAGGTGTCATGAAATATATGAATGAAGTAGGAAATCAGGATTTTCTGGATCCAACAAGTTCGGGTGGGAAGCAGATTTCCATCCCTGCTACCACTGAAGCTGCCAGCCATTCCTCACCGTAAATGAACTCTGCCCTCCATGAGGTCAGGACCCTGATAATTCAGGGGAATAGGAATCAGATAGCCTTGTCCAAAAGCTGCCCCAGCAAGCTGTGTGACTTTCACTAACTCCCTTCCCCACTGTTAGCCGTCATCTCCCTGCCTGTGAAGTGGGAGGTTTAATCAGACACCTCTAAATTATCTCCTAGCTCTGGTTTTCTAAGACTGTGAGTGCCTCTGGCTTCAGCCTATCCAGCCTTCTTTGGATCCAGTACATGTACAGCCAGACTGAAAGCTCTCCAGGGGCAGGGAATCTTTGTTTTGTTTGCTGCTATATCCCAAATGCCTAGAAATTTGCTACAGAAAGTGAACTCCCAGAACAGCAACGTTTGGGAGCCAGCAAGAAATGAAGACTCTCAGGCCCCACTACAGACCTGCCTCAGAATCGGCATTTTGATATGAGTCACTGGCTGAAAACAGTGCCCCTTACAACAAATAATAGTTTTATTTTCAATAAACCGAACATATGATTGAGATTGTGTGACTTTTACTATGGTGAATATCTTCCGCCTTATCCTCAGAGCTACACTGCCACAGTCTTCTGTGTGGAGTAAAGAAAGCAAAGGAAAAGGGGGAAAAAACTCCAACTTACAAATAGTTGCAGTGTCCAGAAAAATGATGAGAGGGAGCCTGTGGATTTAAGGCAGGATTTCTCAACCTTGGCAATATTGACACTCTGGGCTGGATAATTCTTTGCTATATGTGGTTATCCTGTGCCTTTGGAGTGCTTACAATATCCATAGCCTCTTGCCACGAGACGCTAACAGTACCCCCATAATCATGGCAACAAAAATGCCCCAGGCATTGCCAAAGATCACTTGGGACACCAAATAAGAATATGGCTGTGAGACGTGTGTATATGAGGAAGGGTTCTCTATTTCCTAGCAGGGAAAATCAAGAGGCAGCAGCTTTAGAATAATCCCCTTTTATAAAGGAGTAGTTGGGGTGGGGGGCTTTCCTACCACTCATGAAGTCACGTTTATTCCGCAGATACCATGCTGTCCACAGTAAGAATTAGAAGCCGCATCCAAGACTCACAGTCACCCCCAACTTGAATCTCCCATTACCTTCAAGTACCCTTGGTTACTTTCTCTGCTGCATATTCACAGGGTGAGGATCCCAACATACTCTGGACCCTCAGCACTGAAACCTGGGGTTCCTGGTAGTAGAGACTCTCAATGAGTGGGAACTAACAGATTTATTATTATTACTATTCAAAATTGAGAATTCATTTATTCAAATCACATTTACTGAGGACCTCTTGTGCCAGGCACTAAACACTGGAGTACAATGGTAAACAAAATAGACACTGTTTCTACCCTCAAAGGGCTTATAATCCAGTGGGGAGTGGGCAAGAATCAAATAATCACACAACTAAACATGTGATTCCAAACTGTGATGAGGGCTCTGAAGGCAAATACACGCATAGTCTGCCAGCCAGAGACAGCAGGTTCACTGCAAAGCTAATGATGCTTAAGCTTTAGCCTCTCACTTGCCCAGGCCCTTTCCAGGGCCCTAAAAAGGGCCCTAATTATGTGGATCTCTAATTTCAAATCAATAATTTTTATACTTTTTTCTGGAAAAGGGCCTTCAAAATTGTATAAGATTTTGACTCTATAAAATGGATTTGCCCTGATGACAGTGTAGACAGAAGGGAAATGACCATGGATTTGAAACATGAAGGGTGAGTTCACAAGACCTGATGATGGGTGGCGGCAACTGGCTTTCAGGAAGGGGGAACATCATATGCAAAGGCCTTGAGGCAGAAGAGGCCAAAATGTGCAGCATGCTGAGTTGGATTCATCATCACTTCCTGGAGAAGGGGTGCCTTGTTGCATCATGCACCTGACAGCAGGAGTCTCAAGCCCCCATTCCCCTGTCCAGACTTTCCATAGGCTCAGGGCACCAGGTCCAACCAGGCTTGGAGGTGATGCCATCATCTCCCTCAACCATGTGTGCATGATGCATCCCCTACCAGGCAAAACATCCATTTCTGAGCCGTTACACTGTCTCTTTCTAAAAGAAAACAGCAGGACTACAAAACCTACATCATTAAATATATATGAATGAAACATTATATATCTTAATTTCTGTACTTTCACTTTATCTCATTGATTCATGTAGCCTCCCTTTTCTGGAATCAGAAGAGAAATATGTATCACTGCTGTGCTCCTGATTTATTGTGTTGACGCTGACCTGCATACCTGATTCCACATTCCTTTCTATTCCCTTGGGTCTTCTCTGTATCTACTTTGCCAGGGTGTTGTGTTTATTTTGCAAGAACAGAAAAACAGTGGTTTGAACTCCTGAGTAAATAGAATTTCCAGCCTTAAATAAAGGTTCTTCTGTGATAGCATGCACTGCCCAAATGAGAGGAGCGCTGTATCCTAGCCTGAGGAAAGGATTTTTCATTTATAATACTGTATGTATCACTTGGGACGGAATGATGTGAAATCCCATGTTAAACCGTCAGCGCTCTAGATTTGCAAGATACATTTGGTAATTGGGTTAATACATAAATATGAATTTCCTTATCCCCATCCTAACACTTTCTATACTGTGTTTTTGCCGTCCCTTTCTGCAAGGGTCTTCATGCATACATTGTGTTCAGTTTCAGTCATGAAGTTATTTTATTGGATCAAAAATTGGCATTATAGATATACATGTGTGACTAATAAACAATCTGTAACAATGCACCTAGGCACACACCTCAGAATATTTTAGTATTGTCAAAATCACCTCAGAAAGCATTTTTCATGGCACCACAGACTGTGAGGACTAGAGGGAACCTTCAAATTCATCTGGTCCCACATTTCCAAATTATCAGTATGTAAATCCCACGAATAAATGGAGTTTCACTACTAGAAAGATTAATAATAATAATATATTCTGTGGATGAAGTTGGGGACGTCTCCTTTCCTTTCCCCTTCTGAAAATCTATAATGTGTGGAGTGCATGCCCTCTGAGTCCTACCTTCTATACACCCTCTGTATGGAGCTGCTTTTCTCCATCCCTTCTGTCACCTCCCCATCTAAACTGCCATCATCTCTCACCTGGACCACACAACAGCCTCCTAACAGGACGCCCCAACCCATTCCTGAACCCTGTAGTCCATTCACCACGTAGTAGATAGGGCGCTGTATGTGTGTGCAAATCTGGTCATATTATTTCCCTTCCCAAACTCCTTCTGAGGGACATTAAGAAAATGGAAAGCCACAGTCTGGGGGAAACATTGCAAAATGTATGTTGGAAGCAGATGCTCAGTGCCACAGAGAAAAATTAGCACTGAGACAAAGGATCTTTCAGCAGTGCAATTTTTACCTCCTGGACTGCATGAGGGGTACCTTCACTAGCCATCTTGCCATGAGAGTACAATGAACAAAGGGAAAAAAAACATATTTATCCCTTATGCATTTGGATTGTCCTCACTGCTGTGTCTGGCCTCCATTGGCTGGACCCAGACCTCACAATTTAAACTAAAATCTGATTGGCAAAAAACTTAAAACTTTACTAAACAGGTAAAAGCAATGGAGAGCTGGGACACGCCTGTGAGCATGTCCAGCACAGATATCTTGGTTAAAGTACAAGGACATAGAATGTACTACATGGCTGTAAGCATGCCATGTTTATCAGCTACATAGGATAGGGCTTAACAAAGTGTTATTAGCACGCTTATGATTTATTCTTTAACAAGAAAGGAAACTTTAAAGAGGAACTTTTTTACATCCCACAATGTACATCTAATAAACAATTTAAATTCAGGATATATTAAAGAACTCTAATGACAAAAATAAGAAGACTAACAACCCAATTTAAAAATGACCAAAAGATTTGACTAGACATGTGCAGGGGAGGGGAGCATAGCAGGCCCAATGCTGCTCTGCAGAAGGGTCTGCCTGTGGACCTGGCCCTTGCCTGGCATCTGAGAACCTGGCTTTTGGAATGTTACCTATGTTTCTAACTGATAAGGCTGTTTTGTCTTCCCGGTGCACTGAATCCTACCTTACCAGCTTGCCTAAACTGTCTGTACAAACGGTATGATTTATGGTGCACACCTGCTTTTCCTCTAGGAGTTTGGAATTTCAGTAATCATGACTGGTCGTGTGGCAGAAGAGTCCCTACATCACTAGCCCACAAAAAACTCTGGATGCTGAGTCTCAAGCAAAGCTCCTGGGCAGAAACAACATGCACTGTTGCTGCATTTCACTGCTGGAGAAGAAGCATGTTCAGTGAAGTTCCCACCCCAGAAGAGAGAACTTTAAAAGCCTACACCTG